CCTGTGATTCACACACACACAGAGAGAGAGAGAGGGAGGGAGGGAGGGAGGGAGGGAGAGAGAGAGAGAGAATTATTCCTTTCACATCCAATCTTTTTCCAATATTTCTGATGCCTGTTAGGTACATTAGCTACATTAAACGGAGAAGAGTAGCTGAGTCCTTCAGGAACTCGGCATTCTTAGAAATGTCTAAATTATTTACCAAATAATTACTGCCCAATTTGTATTACAAACAGTCTTGAACACTGGATCAGTTTAAAGCCTAAAAAATCAGGCTGTTCTCCTTTGTTCAGTGGAGCACAATCCCAGGTAAATTAACGTGGAATTGTTGTTTAATATATGGCAATAAAGTTGACTGCCAGCCCAGTCCTGATAATTCCAATCATACTACTATTACATACAGAAAAATGGTTCTATGCCTTCTATATGTATTTCATTGGGTCTAAATTAGAATCCAGGGTCAAGCCTATGATCACCCATCTGATAGTGAATCCCACTGATCCAAGCTCGGTAGGAATTTCTGTGAAATGGGATGTGAATTGATATTCTCTTTCAGGCTTTGAATCTGATGCCCGAATTCTTATGCTTGTGAAAGCCATAAAATTTGAGATTCAGAGAGATTGAGTGTTTAAGTTCACCCCATATCAGGATAGTAGTTGGTTGTTTAATATTATTAGTAATGTCATCATTGTTAGAAACTGCTAATCCTGCTATTACATGCAATTGTTGCCCATATTTTTAATAAGTGGATAGCAGGAACTCTGAGGAAGTCTATGCCGCCCAGACTCGCTTTGAATGGCGAGATGGGCGGCATCTAAATTTAATAATAAATAAATTAAAAATGTAAAAATACCATTCATGGGTTCAAAGAAATCACCTTAAAACAATAGTAACTGAGGAAAGCCCTTTGATTTCAACAGTGCCTGTGCCTCACTCCGGCGACATAAGACAATTCAGCGAGGTTCTCGACGAGCGCACGGAGGCCTCGCAACCGAACCTCCTTAGCATCCACTGATCGCTTCTATAAAAGGGAAATCCAGTGAGCCCAACCGTCTACGGGTGCCTTCTGTTTTCGCTGAAGATTCTTCGTTAGAGACGCCCAAGCAGCCTTTGACTGACCAGATGGGGGCGAAGGAGAGGGAGGGAAGCCAAGAGGGGCGGGCGAGATGGAGAATTCGCCGAAGCGAAAGCGCAACCTCTGCTGTAAGTTGCGGACCTGGTTATGCGCGCCAGGCAGCAAGAAAACGCTGCTTAACCTTCCTCTCCATTTCTGCCCTGCTTCTGCCTTGGATTGCACTTCAAATCTCATTGGAGGAGCGGTGTAGGGAAAGGAAAGTGGGGGGTGGGGGTGGAGGAGAAAGCTTTCATGTGGTGGAGCGCGCTGGGTTTTGCGCCTCTCTTCCACACAGAGATTCACGCGCTTCCACCGGCGACACCGTTGATTTTTCTAAGCTTGGAAAGGCAGGGAAATCTGTAGTTGGTAGAGGTGCTAACACATGTCACAAGGCTCCACCGCTGCTGCCGTTGCTGCGACTGCTACACCTGTGGAAGGAAATGCCTCCCGGGCGAGGGGGGTGCGAAGCAGCCCCAGCCGGCTTGGGTGGTCAAGGAAAGAACTGGCCCTAAGTAGCTAAACACCCCCGACCTCAAAAGAGCAGCGATTCAGAATCTCAGCAGGCGCCCCGGTTTGGTTTCCGCTGGGGCCGGACACTGGCACTTTCAGACCCAGGGGCAGAGCTGCGACAGGGGCCGGAGGGCATTCCTACCCCCAGGCTCCAAAGCGTTTTGGATTAAGGAAGGAATCCGCCCGGGATTGGAAGTCACAGAGGTTTGGGCCCTTGTGTGCCTGATTCAGAAACTCGTCCCGCTGCGAGGGGAGGCAATTACTGTATTCCTAAAGATTTTTGTTTCAATGTCTTCGAATCTACACAGGAGCTAACCATCTGGATCACCATCAGCGATTTTTTTTAAAGACCAAAAACGTGTTTTTCTCTCACACACACTTGATCTGAGGACTTGAAATTTCGCAGCAATAGTGATCTGAATTTGAGAGATGCAATATCTTAATAGATAGGTTTATAAATAGCTTTATGGATTCAGGATCGGTACCAATTAATGAAGTCTCACCTTTGATTTTGGCAAAATAATGCTAAAGATTATTTTTAGCATTTCCATTAAAAACATGTCATTTTCAACCATGCACTTCTCCTTGACAGATTTATGTTTATGTAGGGATAAAGATTAAGCGGTTTAATCACTAATCAAATATAAAGGAAAGTTAGGCGCCACTCTGCTCATTAGAACTTCTGAATTTTGTTTCTAGATTTTAAAATGCAATCGGCCTTCGCTCTATGAATATAACTCAAATGCTGATTTTTTTCAAGTCAGAAAAAAAACCTTCACACTTTTCTTTTTAAAAAATCACAATATTGTAAATTGTTCCTGTAAAAGCATCTTAATTTGAAAAAAAATCATTAGAAATATTGAATGTCTTTCTGAATAAAACTCTATTATTAGGTTACACCAATTTGAAACTTTTTTCCAATATACAGGTAGCAACAACCTATTGAAAATATCCGTTTTGAAGAGTGTAATCAATGTAATCAATATTGCAAATATTTGTTACTGAAGTGGTTTTACTGAAATCCAATAAGTGCACACTGTTAGAATTCTACTGTTTATTATTTGATGTTAAATATTTCTAACTTTGAATAAATCAGATTAAATTGATCTTATTGTGTAGGATCAATGAAAAGCCAGTGCCTTTGAATTCAACGGGATTCCCTCCCAGGTTTGATGAATAGTTTGTAACAATGGTCTATGCTGTTTGGCAGCCTATACATACAAAAATAATGTATAAATGTATATAAACAGCATCCAAAAAAATAGATCCATAAATTACTATAAAAACGTGAATGACCTTGTATATGAAGTTTTGGTATTTTTGAAATCCAACTTGGGAGGTGGACGAGGGAGCATCCAATTAACTCATGCTTCTCAATATAAAGCCTGTAAATTTTCCCATTCAATTTTATTATTAGAAAAAAGAATGGTTAAGGGACTATGGTAGACTCACTAAAGGTAAAAATAAATTCCACTGAATTCAAGGAGAATTACTTTGGCATAGGCTTTGATAAGATCAAGATATCTTTCTTCAAAAACATAACTGGTTAAACTTGCACAATAAATATTTACATTGTCTATTTTCTTCTAACACTGAAGCAAATCATTCAGAATTTCCTTTTGAAAGGATGAGACTTTTTGTATTTAAAATTGTACTGTTAGGCACTTTGTACTGAACAAAGAAGCGCATTGGGAAAGGAATCTGGAGGTATGACTCGAAGTTCCCTTTCCCGACGTGTACTCCCTTTCCTGCAGCAGCCGCACTGACACACCTAGGCAGGCAGACTGGATGACGTATCTGTCCTTCGGCTGTCGCCAACCTCGTGTGCGGCGGTTGTTCAGGTGAAGAGCATCAGGTACAGGTCGGGAGAAAAACACAGAAAAACCTGTTGGAGCAACTTGGAAACTTAACACGCAGCAGGTCCTTCAGTGATCAGCTTTTCTCTAAAGCCTGGTCGAGATCTCGAGTTTGAGATGGGATTTACCAGAAAGGATTCTTTCCAGAAGAAAGTTTAGGGCAGAGACCCAGTCTCAGGCACAGAGAAGATGGGCGCTAGTTGTGGCCTGTAGCAATCGCCTTGCAGAAAACCACCACGCTCTGCCCCGCCTCCGTTTTCCTGTTTCATTCCCCCTTTGCCCCAACTGCCTATATGTTCACACCTGCAAGAGTGTCTTTCAAATCAGCTACCTCAACAGCCTGTTTTTCAAACGGGTTATCTAGAAAAATCCACCCGGACGAATGCCAGAGGGCTTTTCCTTTCTTTTAAAACTGGGGGATGAATTTAAAGGTCGCAATGAAAGAGCTACCTCTACAGCATGGTATGCGTGGGTGTTAAAGGCTGTTTGGCTCCGAAGACAGATGTCACCTGGCCAGGTCAGCCAGTTCTACTGAGCGATCTGTCTGGGTAAGAAGGTTCAGGAGGAAACGCACAACTGCCAGTCCCCGACGTAGATGGCCTTATAACCTTTCAATTCGGGGCGCAGCGCTGTTCGGGGGGGGGGAGAGCCATGCCTCCTTAAGTAGCCAGTTGCAGAGAAGCTCCTGCGTCCCCAAATCTATCCCGCCAGGCTTCCCTGCGGCTGAGCTCGCTCGACCTTTTTTTTTTAACACCGATTTCTGGCTTCCATCTCCAGCCCGCCTCTACCGCTGCGCTCGGAGAAACCCCTACTCCTCGGGAGATCATCTTGCAGAAGCAGGGAAAGATTTTCATTTTAGCCCTTCCCCGCCACACACACACCCGCCCCTGCCCCAATCTTCCGCCTCCTGCATTAGCCGCATTGGCAAAGAAGAAAAAAAAAGATGCCGCTTTCCCCCCTGATTTGTGCGTGCCTGTTTGCCACCCCACACCACCTCCACTTCCCTTCGCTCCCCGACCCCCACCCTTGGCTTACGCGTATGATTTCCTGGTTGGGGTGTCCTTCTCGTGCAATGTGACTTTGCTATGAACTCGCCCGTGCCCAGTTGGCTCCCAGGACTGGGGAAGGGTGGGGGGACGCGGTGGGGGGGGGAGAAGCATCCTGACGAAAGCGGAACTCGCCGGAGCCCATACAAATCAGAAAAGAGCCACTCAGAAGAGCAGAGAGTAGACACCGGACCCTGCGGATCAGAAAAGACGCTGCGCCGGCCGCCGCTTGAAAACAGAGACGGGAAGGCGGAAGACGCCAAAGCCCACCAGCCCACCAGCCCACCAAGCGAACTTAAAACCAGCAAGGCGGGATTGGCCCTGGAGCAGAACTTTCCTGGGAGAGCAGCAGGAACAGCCGCAGCAGCCGCAGCCGAGGAAGTTTGGCGCGGCGGAGCGCTGCCCCTCGTTGAGCCGCCGCCGGAGGAGCCGTCACCTTCCGAGGCGAGCCGCGGCAACAGGTGGTGGGCCATGATGACCACCAGCTTCCAGGAGCCTCCGCCCGAAGACACGGTGGCCCTTCTGCACCGGGCCAAGGAGCCAGGAGGCGGCAGCGAAGGGGCGTCCAAAGGCGAACTGAGCCCGGCTTCCAGCAGCAAGGCGCCTTCGTCCATCGGAACCGCGGCGGCGGCAGCGGCGGAGAAGTGCGACCCCACGCAGAAGCCGCCCTACTCCTACGTGGCGCTGATCGCCATGGCCATCCGCGAGAGCGCCGAGAAGCGCCTGACTCTGTCGGGCATCTACCAGTACATCATCAGCAAGTTCCCCTTCTACGAGAAGAACAAGAAGGGCTGGCAGAACAGCATCCGCCACAACCTCAGCCTCAACGAGTGCTTCATCAAAGTGCCGCGAGAGGGCGGCGGAGAGCGCAAAGGCAACTACTGGACGCTCGACCCGGCCTGCGAGGACATGTTCGAGAAGGGCAACTACCGCCGCCGCCGCCGCATGAAGAGGCCCTTCCGCCCGCCCACGGGCCACTTCCAGCCGGGCAAGAGCCTGTTCGGAGCTGCGGCTGAGGCGGCCGGCTACGGTTACCTCACGGCGCCACCCGCCAAGTACCTGCAGGCACCTTTCCTCAACGCCGCCGCTTCCTGGTCTTTGGCGCAGCCCGCGCCGCCGCCGCCTCAGGCGCCCTCAGCCGCTTCCTACGGGGCCTGTCAAATGGCGGCTGTGGAGGCAGGCGGCGGCGGCGGCAGCCCGGGTGGCAACGGCGGCGGCGGCAGCCCTGTCAGCGCCGTGAAGGGAATGGGACTCTCGGCCGGGCCCGCCGGCGCTGCCTCAGCCTACGGCCCTTACTCGCGCCTTCCAGCCATGGTGAACTCGTACAACGGCATGGGCCACCACCATGCCCACCACCACCCGCACGCCCACCACCACCACCCGCACGCCCACCACCATCACCACCACCACCACCACGCGGCCCAGCAGCTCGGCGCGGCGGCGGTGGCGGCGGCTGCAGCCGCAGCGGCCGCAGCCTCGGCGGGAAATCCTTCCCCTCAAGCGGCGCCCAACGGAGCCGGCGGCCTGCAGTTCGCCTGCGCGCGCCAGCCGCCCGAGCTGGCCATGATGCACTGTTCGTACTGGGACCACGAGAGCAAACACAGCCCGCTGCACCCCCGGATAGACCTCTGAGGAGGTGGACGAGAGCCGCGTCTCTGCCCCGCAGCCCACCGACCCCCTTTCCCGCGCAAAGAGATGTTTTTTTTTTTCCTGAAGAAAAGCTTGGATCGCCTTTCCTCGTCATTTTCCTTTCCTCTTGCCCAGCGCATGCAGTCACTTTCAGCGGAGAAAGACCCCCTCCACCACCACCACCACCCCAAAAATCCCTCCGTGTCTTTTGCAGTTCTCAGGATCCTCTCCGGCTGCAGGTGAAGGCAAGCACGACGTCCCCTAGGACTTTTCCCACCACCTCTTCCTCCTCTTCCTTTGCTTCGAGTAGCTCGGCTTTGGGATTTAAATCCTCTTCTCGGTCAGTAGTTTTTAGCGGGGGGGGGGGTAGGCAACTCACCGTTTTACTCAATCTCCCTAGTACAAGCCCTAATAAAGCTAAAGTCACCTCCGGATTTTTTTTTAGTTGCTTTATAAATAACACTGGCAATACAACACGGATCGAGACTGTAGTAGAAGAAGACGTCCTTTGCGTGGTTATCCCGAACTTACTTTGCAGAAGCAGGGAGAGTTGGTAGTAAGTAACGTTTTTAAGATCGAAACGTGGGTCTTAATTGCAGAGGCTTTTGCTTTGCATTGGGAGTTTAAACGGGGTTAAAATCCAAATCAAAGAAAACCGGGGAGAAAAAAGCTATTTGGGTGAACAAGAATTACCGAAATGATAGGTTCACCGCTGCAGATGAGAGGTGTCGAATCAACAACTCAGAACAACTAAATCACCAGACTTTAAAGCCAGTAAAGGCCGCGGTTTTTTATTCGGAATATATATAAAATTGTGTTTGAACTTCAGTTATCTAGGGTGGCGATGACTGTAAATCCTATTGAATTGGGCCTCTTAGTTTAATAATTGGGAGTCGTGTTTAAATCAGAAAGATTTACATTTGGATTTAAGCAGTAATAACTTTGACGCTATTCACAATCTTTTTAGGCTGATGTTTTTAGAAGTGCGTCTAATGGTTTACATGACGTCTCTGTTCTAAACAATGTAAAGCACACCAAATTTATTAGGGTTTATTTTCAAAAATTGTTTCCAAGAATGGCAAAGATTATAAACACATTTTTTCAAATATAAATTTCATGAAACATTTAGACTTTCATTCCACTGTACTGTGGTTTATAGTAGGTTTCAAGACTTGTTTCAGTTTCCTGGCTCGATACAGGTTAATTTGGGCACTTGAGTACTTGAGTTTCAACTGGTTTAGGGATGTTTAAAGTTGAGAAGGGAAGAGGTTTGCATTAATGGGATTAATCTGATTACAATAGATAATTACTGGGGATAACTCTTCAAAATCTAGAAGTTGAGATGTTGAAAATGCCTGCATTTTGAACAGATTGGCTAATATAAATAATGGAAAGCACTAGACTTTCATTTCGCCTTTCTTTTGGCATAGACTTGTCCACTGTGACCACAAAGATGGAGGAGGGGGACAATGCACTTCTTCAAATCTTAATATAACTGTCCAAAAAAGTACTTATTTGGGCACTGATTTTAGCAGAAAGGCTCCTTCTTGGGGCGACTTGTAGCCAAGTTGATTTGAAGGGGGAAGGAGTTTTAAGAACAAGTTTAAAACAATTGTATATGTATATGTATTTTTTTACAAAAAGAAAATAGTATTTTCTCAAGATAAAGTAAGTTTATACTGTCTAAACTTTATGCTAAAATTATTTGGATAAAAAAAAGTTATTCTCTATTATGAATAGTAGTAATAATGGAGACTGTTTTTTTGCAACGATGCTGTTTTACACACACACACACACACACACACACACACACTTGCCTCCACATGGGTATTCAGAATATTTTTTTATCTTTTTTAAACTGAAACTATTTTGCCTGTAAATCAATTTTCATGGGTGGTCCTCTGCTTTCCTCTTCTTTTGTGAAACAAAGTTTCACTATTTGATCTTGAAAAAGAAGATGAACAGAAAATGTATTAATGGGGAAAGGGGGGGAGTCATAGCAGTTTGGTTAAATACTTTTGTAAGCAAACTGTTTTGGTATTGTGCCTTTCTGGGACCAACTTTTTTTTTTAGAATAACTAGCACTTTTATTGTATATCTCTTTGTATAGTCTCCAATAAAATGTTCTTTTTTTCTCTTTTATGCTTGGTTTTCTTTTGTTCCACTATTGGTCAAATACTGCAGATCTTTAAAAATGTCATTACTTTCTGAAAGTGAGTAATTTGCTACAAAAGCTGGTAACATATAGACTTGAGCAGAAAATTTAGAATTTTACTTATATTATTTTCTACTTTCCTGACTGGATTTTGGTGATTGTTAAAAACAAAAAGAAAAATACATAAACCTCAGTTATAATAGTAATAATAACTATAATCATTTGAAAAGAGAATTGAAATCATTGCCCCATCTGGCAAGGTTATTTATATTGATTGTGTTAAAGCCTTCTTTAAATGGCTGAATCTAAAGCATTTGCGTTTGGAATATTACTAATAGGTAAATTCCTCTGAAGTCAATCTTTTTATTTCCATGTCATGATTATTAGGCCAAGAATACTTATGGTCCTGTGGTCTTCATTACATTTACTCAAAAATACATCTGATGTGTGGATCTTTTTGAGTTCTTTGCTTGCATTACATCAGCCCCTTTCTGCCAGTATTTATGTGCAAGTACATCTCATTTAAAATAATGGCAGGATACCCCGGAGGATCTAACTTTAGAAGATTGTGATCTGGTTTGGTGACTGTGGAAAGTGCTGTTAGTATCAGGCTTGAAAAAATTATTATCTCTTCTAAGTTGTTCTAAGACATGCAAAAAAGAAGTTCTTGGTTGTGAAGATCTTCACTTGCAGACTTAATCCAGATGGATTTTTTCTTTAATAGTGAGCATATGTTGGAAAAAGATGCCTAGCGGCCCTTTTATTATAGCACTATCTTTTTCTTTCTTTCTTGTAATATATGTATGATTACAACATCCTTTACCTATATCACAAAAGTGTAGGTGATTGTAGGCCAGAGGTCTGTAAAATATAAGTGTGAAAAATAGCTGGTGATCATATTCTTTTTATTTCAGAGAGTAAAACCATTCCAAAAAATATCTTTATTATGTAAGTATTGAACACTATACATATATAATATCAAATGACTGATAAGAATATTTGCAGCCCTACTCCAAAGAAGCACATTTTTCAGAAATAAATTCCAATGAATTCAGCGTGACTCATTTACCAAACTGCTACTTTATTTGGAGAGAAATTATATGAGAAGGGGTGGGCTTACCTCCTCCCTAATTCTATGTAGGTACAGCTATATTTTCAATTATTTTCATTCAGTGATGATACAAAGTAGATTTTTGGGGAAGGGACGCTGGAATTGTGCTCTAAATCTATTGCATTCTTTCCAACAGTGTTTGCGTGTGGCACCTTGCAGATTTTAGTTTTATGTTTCCATAAGAGGCAAATTATGCAAATAAAACTTTTGGACAATGCTTTTGGGTGTATATTTCTAGTGCTAGCTTTTAACGGAGTGGCGGGGCTGCCTGATACATTTTCACCTGTGTCCTAGTTGCGCTCGCTAAACACTCTAAGACCTAACGTAGTTTACTTGACCTTGTGTTTTATTAAAGCATAGGTTACGATTTACAGTGTTATGTGAACTCAGCCCCCCCCCCACCTCCCGCGTTATAGGATGCCCAAGGAACGAAGGCGCACTTAGCCAGTATTGTATTTGCCTAATGTGTAATTGCCTAATGTCTAATATATAATTTTTATAATATCTACCTAATGTCTAATACAGTCTAAATGAGGGTCGGGAAGAGATTCCAAGTACAGGAGGCACTGGCGGTTGCTTTTTACCGGACGGAAAGTATTAATGGAATCTGGGAAGGCTACATTTGACTTTCTGTCTCTTTCTCTCCCTCGGTTTAATCGACGGGGAAAGCCGAAGGCCCTCTCTCCACCATGCCAAAAAGGAATCGCCCGGCTAGGTCCTCTAACCAAGTAAAGCCGGTGCCCTTGGCCAGGAAGGCACTTAATCCTCCCAGAACCTCGGAGGCCGGAGGAAAGGGACCTTTTGAAAGTGGGCTGAACCTCTTCTGGTTAGTGCTGCGGTTCGCCCACAGCTTTCTTCAGAACGGCCTGTGGAGAGCGCTGGGGAAGAAGCCAGATTTCTACAATAATCGTTCAGTAATCATTTCGTTGCGGTCTAAGTAGTAACTGGTCGGGGAAAGAAGGAGGCAAGTAGTCCCGCATGTGGGAAGAATTGTTCGTCAAATTGGCCGTGGAAGAGCGAGGCCTCATATCTGAAGGGGAACCGCTTTTCTGGTGTGAAAGGAAAAGCCACACCACTCGCTCAGACCTTAAGGCTTCAATAGAACAGATTCACGGGGCAGGGAGAGCCGAATCCAACTTTTGGGGCACTGCGGAGGTCCCGATCCACCTACAGAGAGACTTTCGGAGTAGCGGGAAAAGGTCCCGAAGCAATGCGCGTTCGTAGAGCTATCACCGAATAGGGCTGTGAGAGGGACTAAGGATGCATTCGCCTGCTAGTCGGAAAGTGCTCCCATGATCTTTTTAGCGGGGTTGTGTCGGGTTTCTGCCTTGTCCTTTGCCAGGTCAATTCTCTAGGAGTTGGAGAAGGAGCAGAAACCATCTCAGTTTAGATCTTAACTCCCAGTGCAGTTTACATTTCCATAGTAAATATAATAAATGGAAGGTTCCGCTGGTACCTTCCCCCATCAAAGCAGGGTTTAGGACTATATTTCTTAACTCAAACTGAAGAGAATTCTTCAAATCCTACTATTCTGTTTTTCTGTCCCATAGTTGAGCATATGACCTAAATAACAGAGAAGAGGATAAATGGTTTCTGAGATTCCAGAATTTTCTTTTATACAAAATCTGGCCATCCTATATTGGAAATAAGGCCCACTGAATTAAGTTCGTCAGTGGACCAAAAGTATCAAATTGTGGAGCAACAGACATTACCTAACATTTTGAATAATCCAGTCCCTCAAGTCCTAATACGATGGACTAAGAGCAGTGTGTAAAAATATGTACACCGCACATTGTCTTGCATTAACTGAGATTACAAACTCGTTCGTTAATTCGCTAAAGAAAATTAAAAATTAAAGGTAAGTTAATTGTGCAATCTATTTTGTTGCGGCTGCTACACTCTTCTTAACAAAGTAAGGGACACACCAGGCAGGTGTTAAAAATATTGGGTAGCAGGATCCTAGGTATATACAACATAAAAAGAGGGCTGCGTGTGTTGGGACAAGTCGCGACAGTAAATCCTAAAATGGGCGAATGACCAATATCTTTCCCATATACTCGATACACCCAAAATAAACTTCCAAGCCTTTTCAGTTGAAATATTGTCCTCCCTTCTGCTCGATTTCCCCCTCCCCCCATGAAAATCCTACAGACAGAAATCCTAAACCCATGTTTTAGGAAATAAATCCCGAGCAAAACAAAAAACACGCGGTTCGAAAATCAGTTCCCAAATGAACAGCGTAGCTCAGAGCGTGTGCGCTGGAGCGCTTCTGGCATGCCTTAGTGGCAACAATAAGGGCAACCTTTACTCCGAGTGACAACACTCGGACGATTCTTCTCTCCTTTTGTCCAGCCTTTAGGAAGACCCTGAAATGATGGGAATCCGAGGGATTAACAAATTATCTATGGAACTGATCTTGGAGGCGGGGCAGGGAAATGCTCAGGAAAAATCAGCAGGAGCTTCTAAGTAGCACCTTCTCCCCTATATTTGGGGAAATCAGGATTTTTTTTAATGACTTCGGGAATCGGACGCTTCTCTCCAGTTGCACCATTTAATTGATTTTTTCATTGTCCGATTCTTCATTTGATTTTGCATCCTCTCTCTCTTTCCATAAAGAGGTTCGTGTTGCTAGAGATTTGTGTTCAGATGGTGGTTGAAAAGGAACGAAGACACAATTCTACGGGGGAAATCGTTTTTAAAGCCATAGGACCCAGCACACAGGCCTCGAATCGAACCTAAAATAACCAAGATCTAAGCAAATTAAAGTCCATGATTAAACGGTTCCAAGTTAAACCAGTTTATGTAATGTTCTTCTTCTCCTTAGAATAGTGTACTTCTATCTTGTCCCTCTTTTACTCTATGTAATTGTTCCATGTAGATATTTAGAAAAATATCCTTGTTTCTGTAAAGTCCTATTAAATGCAAGAGGTTTTCGCCAACTAAATGCATATGGTTTTCAGTCTAAACTTATATTTTTATATAACAGCTGTGATAAAGTACACTTAATTTAATAATGGCTGAGGAGTGGATGGATGAGGAAAGAACACCATTGAAAGGAATTCAGTCAGCTACTCAAATCTTACTAAAACGAACTTGGCAGGACTGGAACCTCACTACTTTACAAATAAAAGAATAAAAGGGAGGAAGCCTATACATTTGTGAAAACGATAAAATCTCCTTCACCCTCTTGTCTACTTTTAAACACAGTATACATTAGAAACAATTTTGTCTATTAGATTTGTGCAAATGGCCATTTGGAAATCAATGGCACAGGGACGCATGCAGGTAATGCTCCTTTGTAAGTGTGCTCTGATTGCTGAGCACAATCAACCAAAGATGACCATTGTAGCTGCCAGATCCTGTGCAGGTTTGCTCAGCATTAACTCTCACTATGGATATTGGAGTTTATTCCCCAAAAAACTGTATCCAATTTTCCAATTTTTTTTTATCCAGGAATAAGTTCTTAAATTTAGTGAGATTTAGTTCTGAATAAATCTGCAGGGGGTGATGCTGGGCTGGTGTTTTAAAGTACTTGTTGAG